TTCGTGAACGCCAATTTGAAGATCTGCTTTATAGTATTATCTTTTTTATTTTCCACATTACATATAACAATTAGGAGAAGAAAGATGCCCATTGGTCTAATGTGTGCCTAACAAGCCAATCCACTGCTAAATTTGTACATTACAGTAAATATTGAGCCATAATGGAAGTGTTTTTCTTTGATATCTTTGAATTGATGTTTATGTTAATATATTATAGTACATGTTTTGCAAAAGCTGTGTGTAGACACTTCAGAAAAATAAAAAAGGCTTCATATTTGATCTCACTGTCTCTTATCTATAGATTATGCAAGCAAAACATTGCGATCATTTTGTGTAACCAATATTTATTGTAAAGATATCGTGACAATGTCGTTATCGGGAGTTGGGTATAAATTATCAAGATAATTTATTTTTGTCATATCGCCACCCTAGATGTGATGCATTGCTTGCAGTTGGCGTTGAAAGTTCTGGTGGATACAGAATAGTTTGTGAGTGATTGACACGTCTCTGTTTGTAAGAGGCAGTTATGTCTGTAAACTTTTGTTGCTTGATGCTCAATTTCTTTTAGATGGAGTGAATTGATGTACCAACTAATTAAGAGGCAGGATCGAGACGGTGAAGCCAGTTTGAAATAGGAATAACTGGAATTCAGTGAAAAAGGTAATCAAGGAAAACATGAACAAAGTATATTGGGCAGTAGATGAAGAAATAAGCTCTACACTTGTTAGCAGAGACATTCAACTCTTAAAAAAGCATCTCCATCGATAATTGATTATAATACTGAATTGCTTCAGTCTCATTGGCCTCATTAACCATGTGTCCTTACAGAACAGGTTATCACACTGTATGTGTGAGTTTGACCTGTCTTACACACCCATGAGTCTTCAGAACAGGTTTTCACCAGTGTATGTGTTTGAGGACCAGGCCTCACAGACCATGTGACCTTTCAAACCAGGTTATACACAGTGTAAGAGTGGCGGGACAGGCTCACAGACCATGAGGTCCTTTCAAACCAGGTTTTACACAGAGTATGATAAGGTGTGCGGACATGCTCACAGACCAAGTGTCCTTTCAAACCAGGTTACTCCATAGTGTGGTGTGTATGAAACATCACTGACCTTGTAAACCACAATTACCCTTATGACCGTGTTTTTGAAAAGTCTTAACAAACCCCTAGAAAATTCTTGGAAAACAGTCTTATTAAAATCTCAGTGCAAGCAAGGAAATCTTTAATTTTAGCCGGTATGGTTCTGTGATTTTTTTCATGAACATTGATATATTTTTTAGGCTCTAGCAACCACGGGAACCAGTGTCCAGTTAATTACTATATACCAGTCTGGATTTAACGGATTTTAGAAACATGTCCTTACAACGTCTTCAAAGGGTAAGTGTGTCTGATGGGTGTATTCATATGTGCTGTCATCTCCTGGTACTAGATATATTTTGAATAAAGTGTCCATGTGGGTGTTTTTGTTGCTTTAGAAAAAATGTATTTATATATATTATCATAATAATTATTATTATTATTAAAAATATCAATAATACATTTTTATTCAAAAGCACCAAAAACACCAAGAACTTATCAAAAATATTCTTGTACCAGGGAGATGACGACATAATGAAATCACCACAACAGTATAACATACGTTTGAGACGTTGTAAGGGACATTTTTTTAAAATCCCTTTAAACCAGAATGTACATAGTGAATACGGGACACTGGGTTCCCGTGTGCTAGAGCCTCAAAAATCATTATCAATGATCATGAAAAAATCACAGAAACCTATACACGGCTTAAATTTAAAGATATCTTTGCAGCCTGAGATATAAAAAATGCCTGTTTTCAAGACTTTTAGGGGGTTTGTAAAGGACTTTTCAAAAACACGGTCTATAAGGACAGTGTGGATTACAAGGTCAGTGGATGTCATCAATACCAACACACCTATGTATAACGGTTTGAAAGGACCAATGGTCTGAGAGGCCTGGTCCAGCACACACATACACTGTGTAATAACATGGTTGAAAGAGACACATGGTTGTGAGGCCTGGTCCGAACACACATACACTGTGTATAACTGGTTGAAAAAGGACACATGTCTGTGAGGCCTGGTCGCACAAACATACACTGGGGAAAACTGTTCTGAAAGGAAATGGTGAGTAAGGCCAGGTCACACACACATTCAGTGTGGATAACCTGTTCTGAAAGGACACTATGATAAAGCGGCAACGCGACAGAGGCATCATTAAAAATAATCATATAATCTATGGAGGAATTGCTTTTTTAAGAGTTTGATTGTCACTGCAACAGTGTATAGATTATTCTCTGTCTCCTGCCAAATTTGTCATGTATTCCTTGATACCTACTGAATTCCAGTTATTTCCCTAGTTTCAAACTGGCTTAACCGTCTTATCCTGACACTTAAATAGCTGGTACTTACAAATCACTCATTCTAAAGAAAATGAGATCAAGCAACAAAAGGTTTACAGAACATAACTGCCTCTTCAACAGAGACGTGTTCAATCACCACCACAAACTATATCTGTAACCACCAGAATCAATCAGCAATCAGCAAGCAGCATCAAAAACTAGTGATGGAATGGGCGATATGGCCAAAAATAAATATCCTTGATTACATTATAAACTCCGATAACGACATTGTCACGTTATCTTTTAAATAAAAAAGGTTAACAAATGATCTGCCATGTTTTTAGCTTGCAATGGAATTTAGATAGAGACAGTGTAGATCAAATGAAGCTATATATTTCTGAAGGCTACACACATCATTGCAAAACAAGTACTAATATATATTAAACATATAAACATAGATTCAAGAAACACAGTAAAAAACAAATCCAAAAAGGCTCAATATTTATGAACTGTACAAATAAAGCAGTGATGGCTTTTAGGCACACATTAGGACATATGGGCATTTACCTTCTCTAATTGTAATATGTATTGGAAAAAAAAAAAGATAATACAATAACGCATATCTTCAATAGGGTTCACGAAAATTATTGTTACGATATATTATGTCCACTCCTAAATCACTTACCCACCAGGAATGTGTCACTGGTTCTAAGGCTGTGTTCCAGGTGTGGTGGTCACTGAGTCTAAGAGTGTCCAGTTGTGACATGGTCTAAGGTTTGTGTCACTGGTCCTGCTTGTCACTGGTCCAAGACGTGTCACTGGTCCATGAGTGTCCAGGCGTGTCACTGGTCCATGGGTGTTTACGGCGTGTCAATGGTCCATGAAGTGTCATGGGGTGTAACTGGTCCATGGCGTGTCACTGGTCCGCATGGGAGTCACTGGTCCTGGCGTGTCATGGTCCATGACGAGTCACTGGGTCCATGACGTGTCAGGCGTGTCACTGGTCCATGGAGTTTCAGGCGTGACATTGGTCCTGGGAGTCATGGTCCATGGCGAGACGGGCGTGTCATGGTCCGTGCGTGTCCAGGAGTGTCAATGGTCCATGCGTGTCCAGGCAGCTCACACCCAGCCGTCATGGCCAGTGACACGCACAGACAGCATGACCAGTGACAAGCCGTGAAACGTCACGGAGCAGTGACACCCTGGACACGCCATCGGACACGTCATGGACCAGTGACAAGCCATGGCATGCTATGGAACAGGACATGCCCAGGACACGTCATGGACCAGTGTACGCCTCCGGAACGCTTGGACACTTCATGGACATTGACACTTCCTGGACACGCCATGGACAAGTCATGGACCAGTGACAATCCTGGACACGCCATGGGACCAGTGACAACGCTCGCCTGGACACGCCATGGACAGTGACACGCCTGGACACGCCATGAAACCAGTGACCACGCCGGAACGTCAAGGAGTATGTCACTGGTTCCATGGACGTGTCCAGGCGTGTCACTTGGTCCATGGGTGTCACTGGTCCATGGCGTGTCCAGGCGAAGTCACTGGTCCATGACGTGTCACGGCGTGTCACTGGTCCATGTCGTGTCCATGGACGTGTCCAGGCGTTGTGTCATGGTCCATGATGTGTCCATGGCGTGTAAGGCGTGTCACTGGTCCATGGCGTGTCACAGGTCCATGCGTGACCATGGCGTGTCACTGGTCCATGACGTGTCAGGCGTGTCACTGGTCAATGGCGTGTCCAGGCGTTTTTCACTGGTCCCTGGGTGTCCAGGCGTGTCACTGGTCATGGCGTGTCAGGCGATCACTGGTAAATGACGAGTCGGGCTGATCACACTGGACACTCCTGGGACCACGTCAAGGCAGTGACATTGCCTGACACGCATGGACCAGTGACACGCCTGGACAAGCCATGGACAGTGAAACGCATGGACACGTCATGGAACCAGTGACACGCCATGGACACGTCATGGGACCAGTGACACGCTCCGGACATGCCATGGACCAGTGAAACGTCGTGGACACGTCATGGAACCAGTGACACACCGTTGACGTCATGGACCAGTGACACGCCGATGGACCAGTGACAACGCATGAACCAGTGACACGCGTTGGTACCAGTAACACGTAGGGGACTGTGACACCACCGTAGACACGTCCATGGACAGTGACACGCCTTTGGACGCATGGACAGTTGACACGCCATGGACACGTCATGGACCTGTGACACACTAGGAACATCATATGACAGTGACAGGCTTGGAAACGCCATGGACCATTGGGTGGGGGGTGAAACCCCCCCGCCTGGACACGGTCATGGACCAAGATACACGCCCGGGACACGCCAATGGACCAGTGACACACCGTGGACACGTCATGGATCAGAGGACCGACTGGACAACGAGTGGACAGTCCTGGACCATATGTGACACACTGTGGACACGTCTGGACCCATTGACACCGCCTCCCTGGACACGCCATGGACACGTCGATGGACCAGTGACACGCCGTGGGACACGTCGGAGCAGTGAAGTGACAAGCCTGACCACGAATGGACAGTGACCAGCCAGGAACGCCATGGACCTGTGAAACGCCATGGACCAGTGACACGCCATGGACCAGTTACACGCCCGGACACGCCATGGACCAGTGACACGCCGTACACGCATGGGACCATTGACACGCCCGGACACGCCATGGACCTGTGACACGGCGTGGGATGTCACGGTCCATGCGTGTCCAGGCGTGGAGTGTCCAAGAGTTTTGTCACTGGTCTATGACGTGTCCAGGCGTATGTCACTGGTCATGGCAGAGTCCAGGCGTTGTCATGGTCCATGGCGTTTCCACTGGACCTTTGCGTGTCCAGGCGTGTCACTGGTCCTGACGTGTCACTGGTCCATGACGTGTCAGGCGTGTCACTGGTCCATGGGTGTCCAGGCGTCTCACTGGTCCATGAGTGTCCAGGCGTTCACTGGTCCATGAACGTGTCGGGATGCTAACACCTGGCACACCATAGGACCAGTGACACGCCGTGGACACATCATGGACCAGCTTGACACGCTGGAACCGCCATGGACCAGTAACCACGCCCTTGCGAGACAAGCCATGGACCACGTCATGACCAGTGAAAGCCTGGACACGTCATAGACCAGAGACCACGCCAAAACTCGCCATGGACAGTGACAACGCCCCCCCCCCCCCCCTCAAAACCCCACCCATGTGTGTACCCATCCTCAGATGAGCCCAAACTCCACACATGGACCAGTGACACGCCCGGACACGCCATGGACCAGTGATAGTGGCGTTTGTGTCGCGTATCCCATTATCGGATGTGCGGTGTCCATGCGTGTCACTGGTCCATGGCTTGTCCAGGCGTTGTCACTGGTCCAGACGTATGTACAGGGTGTCACTGGTCCATGGCGTGTCCAGGTGTGTCACAGTTCATGAAGTGTCCATGGCGTGTCACTGGTCCATGACGGTGAACCAGGCGTGCACTGGTCATGACTTGTCAGGCGTGTCACTGGTCCATGGGTGGTACAGGCGTGTCATGGTCCATGGCGTTGTCCAGGAGTCTCACTGGTCAAGACGTGTCCGGGCTGCTCTACACCGGACACACCTTGAAGACCAGTGACGTCGTGGAACAGTCATGGACTAGTGGACACGCGCTGGACACGCCATGGACAAAGTGACACACCATGGACGTGACCACGCATGGACAGTATGAACCAGTGACCCGCCTGGGACACGTCATTGACCAATGGACACGCACACGGGACACGCTAAGGACCAGTTGAACTCATGGCACGTCATCGACTGTGACACGTCATGGACCAGTGACAGAATGGACCCGCATGGACCAGTGACACGCCATGGAACAGTGAAAAGCTCTGGATCACGTCTAGGACCAGATGACAAGCCTTGACGTTGTCCAGTTGGGGCGTCACTGTCCATTGGCGTGTCCACTGGTCCAGGGACGTGTCCATGGCGTGTCAATGGTCCAGACGTGTCCAGGCATGTCACTGGTCCCATGGCGTGTCCAGGCGATGTCAATGGTCCATGGCGTGTTCCAGGCGTTCACTGGTCCATGACGTGCGGGCTGCTCACACCTTTAGACCAGTGACACGCGTGGAACGTGCATGGCCAGTTAAAAAAACCGCTCTGGACACGGCATGGACCATTGACACGCTGGACCATGACACGCCATGGACCAGTGACACGCCCGGTATGGTACACGTCATGAACCAGTGACAGCCATGGACACGTCATTGACAATGACACGGCTCCCCCGGACACGGCTGTGGGACAGTCATGGACTGTGACACACCGTGGGACACGTCATGGACAGTGACACGCCTGGACACGCCATTGGACAAGTGAACACGCCTGGACACGCCCATGGACCAGTGACACCCCCGGGACACGCCATGGACCAGTGACACGCCATGGACCAGTGACACGCCATGGACACGTCATGGACCTGTGACAAACAGTGGACCATCTTGGACCAGTGACACGCCTGGACACGCCATGGACAGTGACAAGACTGGACAAGCCATGGACCAGTGACACACCCGGAAACGCCATGGACAGTGACAGGAATATGGAACACCAGTGACACGCCGTGGACACGTCATGGACCTGTGACACACGTGGGCATAATCATGGCACCAGTGACACGCCTTGGACCAGTATGACACGCCTGGCACGCCATGACCAGTGACACTCCTGGACCAGTCATGGACCTGTGACACACCAGGACAGACATGGACAGAGGACTCAACTGGACACGCCATGGACCGTGACGCCACACCTGAGATATCAAAGCCATAATATCATAAACACAAAGCAACAATGTTAGCTTCATCAACTGAGCTGTATTGTTCACCTCATTAATTCTGGTCATGAAACAGAACACATTGCTGAAAGTTGTACACGGAAATAAAGGTGAAAACCAAACATTTAAATGTCCATATAGAATTCAGTCTTATAATACCTCTTTTAAGGCCAACTCAAAATCCTAATAACTTGAATGGATCTACTCTCCAGCTGTGTGTTCCATTTCCTGGACTTTATGTCAACTGCTGAAGGTGGCAGTTTAAAACCAATGAGGTGGCCTCGAAGCTTCTTCACGGATGTTCTCGCCTTGATGAAACAACTCTAAACATTAAGAGAGATGAATTTAAGGCTGCGTTCAGACCAAAAAGCTTCAAAAAGCTTTTGACGCGCTTCAACTGAGCGGGTGATAGTTTGTCTATTTATGGTGCTGAAGCTTTGACGCGAGTTACGCGGCTGACGCCGGTTGTGAAGGAGCTATCTTGGTGCTGTAGTCAGGAACATGCGGTGGATTTTTTCACCTATGAGCAGCGAGCCATTTTTTTTTATTAAGCAAAATAACGTTGTGTAGGGCTTCAACAAAACCAATGTTTGGTGTTCACACAGACTTGAGAGGCGCAGTGTTTGGACAGAGTTCCGTCATTTCATCCAGGAGTAGCTGACGGAGGAGATTCGCTTTCAGCGTACTTCCGCATGTCACTTTGCCAGTCAGAGTTATCAAACCCGGCTATCGCCTCTCCTGCCTCTCCTGCCTCTCCCTGCCTCTCCTCGGTTCTGCTCAACACTCCATGCCTCTCCTGCCTCTCCCTGCCTCTACCTCGGTTCTCGCACGCCTCTCCCCGCCTCTCCCTGCTCTCCCCGGCTTCGCCCGCCCGGAGCTGCCTTGCTTGAGCCAGACTCATATTCTCAGCTGTTCTAATTTTAAATAAACTACGTTTACTACACGCATGTGTACAATGATTTTGTTACTCAGAACGTTAATACTCTACAATAATTTTACTATAACAATTATGACAAAAAAACAGCAGCTGGCATGACTTTATCATGACAGGAGACAGACCCTCTGCTGCTCCTCGTCTCTGGATTGGTTAGAGCCCGCGACAAGCTACAAAAGACTCGCAATGATCAGCTTCGGCTAGTCAGAGGGGTGTTGTGATAGCGAACGTTTAGCGCGTCAAAGCTTCAAGTGAGCGCGTATATTACGCGCGAATCTTGAAGCTTTTGACGCGCGTAAGTGACGCCGGGTCCTCTCTGCTTTCACATGAAGCGATTCACCATTCACTTTCATGGAAACCTGACGCTTTGACGCCGAGATAAGTCCGGTATTGACCACACGTCCACTTTAGCTTATTTACAAAACACACCAAGACACACACTATCAAATAGATGAAGTTTTATTATACCCAGTGCTTGTGCCCCCTATTAAGACCGCAAAAAAATTGTACCTTTCCTTGTTAAGTATACATTTAAACGCCCCCATTATTCTTCAATCCATAAGGGAGATGAAAAGTGTATAAAGAAGGAACTTTTTAAGATAACTAGTGAAACAATCATATTATAATCTGGTTTACATGTTTGGTTAGGATAAACTGACACCAAGAGAAATATACCCAGAGCTGTAAAACAGCAGTAAATACTGGGACACGCATTCTTCCACAGCATACACAAACCTAAAAACTTCAATATGTTCATTAAACCTAGATTTATCTGATCCAATAAAGCAACAACACGTAACAACTATATTACACTACAGCACCCAGAGTATGTGACACACCGAAAGACCAGAGACTGAGAGGACACTGAGTTATGAGTACATCTATATTCAATATGAGACATTACAACAATCTGTGTGTGATGACAACCGAACAGCCAGGACATGAGAGGACTCTGTGTTAATGAGGGACATCTATATTCAATAAGAGACCATAAACACATCTGTGTGTGTGACAACCACAGGACAGGACCTGGCTGAGAGGACCAGCTAACTGAAATGGGGGACATTATCTATACAAAGTGTAAGTAATCACAGCATAAAAAGGGCACCTCACTCAAACCTAAGTTTATGACACTTAAATGATGCAGCAGAGTGTTTTAAGAGATGACCGTTAAGTGTGTACAGGAATTACCTACCCGTATTATTGTACTTATTGAAAATGGTTGGTCCACGGCGTGGTCCAGGCTTGACCTGGGTCCATGGTGGGTCAGGGCGTGTCACTGGTCACAAGGGCGTGTCCAGGCGTGGACAATGGTCCATCCCGGGTCCAGGCGGTGTCATGGTCCAAGGAGGGTTCCAGGCGTGTGTCACTGGTCAGGCGTGTCATGGTCCAGGGCGTTTCCAGGTGTGTCACTGTCCATGCCGGGTCCAGGCGTTGTCACTGAGTCAGGGGCGGAGGTCAGGTGTGTCACTGGTCAGGGCGGGGTCCGGGCGTGTCCAGGTGTGTCCCTGGTCCACTGCGATGTAGGTGTGTCACGGTGCAGAATATATGTGTCACTGGGTCCACAGCGTGTCAGGTGTTTCAACTGGCCGCCTGTCATGGTCAAGGCGTGTCGGGGTTGACACTGTGGGACCAAGGCGTGTCCAGGGTGTCACTTGTCCATGGGTAATTGTCAGGCGTGTCACTGGTCCATGATGTGTCCACGGTTTGTTGTGTCACAGGTCCATGACGTGTACCATGGAGTGTCATGGTCCATGGCGTGTCACTGTCCATGGGTGTCGGGGGTGTCAATGGTCCATCTAGGTCCATGGCGTGTCCAGGGAGTCCTGGTCCATGGGCGTGTCCAGGGTGTCAAGGTCCAAGACGTGTCCACGGTTGTGTCACAGGTAATGGAGTGTCCACGGGCTGTGCCGGGCAGATGTCATTGGTCAATGATTGTCCCGGCGTGTTGTCAATGGTCATGACGAGTCCATGGGTGTCACTGGACCATGGCGTGTCACTGGTCCCATGGGTGGTGTCATGGTCCATGGGTGTCCAGTCGTGTAACGAGTCCATGGACGTGTACACGGCGTGTCTGGTTTAAGGTGTGAGCAGACGGAACGTCATGGACCGTGAGACGCCCTGGACACGCCAAGGACCAGTGACCAACGCCTGGAACACGCCATGGACCAGTGACATGCCATGGACACGTCGGGACCAGTGAACGCCATGAACGTATGGGACCAGTGACACGCCATGGGAAAGGTGACGCGCCGGGACAGTCAAGTGCGCTGTCACTGGTCCATGACGTGTCCAGGCGTGTCCATGGACCAAGGTCGTTTAGTCACTGGTCCAAGGAGTGTCCAGGGTTGTCACTGGTCCTATGACGTTGTCACGGTCCATGACGTGTTCCATGGCGACTGTCACTGGGTCCATGGCGTGTCAGTGCGTAGTCATTGGTCAATGACGTGTCCAGGCGTGTCACAGGTTCATGACGTGTCCATGGCGTGTCACAGGTCCATGGTGTGTCACTGGTCCATGGGTGTCCCAGGCGTGTCACTAGTCAGACGTGTCCACGGCGTCACTGCGTCTAAGGTGTGTCCAGGTTAGTGAGCGCGGACAGTCAATGGACAAAGGGTGAGACGCTCTCTGGACACGCCATGGACAGTGACACGCCTGGACACGCCATGGACAGTGACACGCTCTGGAGCATTGACCAGAGGACACGCTGGACTCGATCATTGACAGTGACACGCATGGACACGGTCAGTTTGGACCAGTGACAACATGGACCGCCATGGACCAGTGACACGCTGACACGATCAAGGACCAGTGACACGACTGGACACGCACATGGACCAGTGCAAGCTGGACCACGCCACATATGGTCCATGGCGTGTCACGGCGCGTGTCATGGTCCATGGCGTGTTTGGGGTGACACTGGTCTATGAAGTGTCCAGGCGTGTCAATGGTTCATGACGAGTCCATGGGCGTGTCACTGGCAATGGGCGTGTTACTGGTCCCAGGCGTTTCCAGGCGTGTCATGGTCCATGATGTGTCCACGGCGTGATCACTGGTCTAGTTTGTGTCCAGGTTAGTGAGCAGCGACGGACACGTCATGGACAGTGAGCGCCCTGCTGGACACGTCAATGGACATGAGACGCCTGGGACACGCCATGGACCATTGAACGGCTCATGACACGTTCATGGACCAGTGAAACGTCAAGGCCCAGTGACACGCCAGGGACTCGCCATGGACATAGAAACGCCATTGAACAGTTACACGCCTGGACACGCCAATGGACCAGATGACACGCCTGGACACGTATGCCCAGTGACACGCTTGGACACGCCACGATGGACACGCTTGGACCAGTGACACGCCACGCCGTGTAAATGGTCCATGGGTGTCCGGGCGTTGTCATTGGTCCAGGCGTGTAAGGCGTGTCAATGGTCCATGGCCGTTTCGGGGCGAGTCACTGGTCCATTGGGGGACACTGGTGCCATGGCGAGACATGGTCCATGGCGTGTCCAGGCGAGTCACTGGTCATGGGTTTTCCAGGCGTTGTCCTGCTCCGTGAGTGTCCACGGCGAGTCACTGGTCCATGAACGTGGTCCATGGCGTGTCAGGGGTGTCACTGGTCCATGACGTTCGGTCACAGTGTGTCAAGGTCCAGGAGTTGTCCACGGGTGTCCAGGCGTGTCACAGATCCATGAGTGTCCCCTGTGAGCACTGGTCCATGGCGTGTTCAGGGCGTGTCAATGGTCCATGCTTGTCAGCGAGTCATGGTCCATGGCGTGTCAGGCCTGTCACTGGTCTTGATGAAGTCCCGTGTGTCACAGTTCAATGAGTGTCATGGGTGTCATGGTCCATGGCGTGTCCAGGCGTGTCACTGGTCCAAGACGAGTTACGGTGTGTCACAGGTCCATAGCGCTGTTTACTGGTCCACGGCGATGTCCATGGGACCATGGCATGTCACTGGTCCATGGAGTTTCACTGGTCCATGCGTGTCCACGGTGTTTTCACAGTCATGACGTGTCCACGACGTGTCACTGGTCATGGCATGTCCGGGCGTGTCACTGGTCCAAGACGTGTCCATGGCGTGTCACTGGTACCATGACGTGTCCATGGCGTGGTCAACTGGTCATGGCTTGACAGGGAGTCATGGTCCATGGCGTGTCCGGCATGTCATGGTCCATGGACGTGTCCACGGGTGTCAAGGTGTGGCAGCCGGACACGTCATGGACCAGTGAGTCGCCTGGACACGCCATGGACAGTGACACGCGTGGACACGAATGGACAGGACACGCATGGAACGCCATGGACAGTGAACACGCTGGACAGTCATGGACCAGGAGACACGCCCATGGACACGAATGGACCAGTGGACAACGCCATGGCAGTTTGACACGCCTGGACACGCCATGGACACATCATGGGACAGTGACACGCTGGACACGACATGGACATCGTCAGGACCAGTGACACGCGTGGACACGTCAAGGACCAGTGACACGCCTGGGAAACGCATGGACAGTGACACGCCATGGACCAGTGACACGCCTGGACCACGTAATGGACAGATGAACAGCCTGACGTGTGGGCGTGTCACTGGTCATTGAAGTGTCCAAGGGCGTGTTCACTGGAACCATGGCGTGTCCGGCGTGTCACTGGTCCATGGGGTTCCAGGAAGTGTCATGGTCCAGACGTGTCCATGGCGTGTCCAGGGTGTCATGGTCCATGACGTGTCCAAGGGATGTCCGGGGGTTCACTCTGGGTCCATGACGTGTCTGGGCATGTCACTGGTCCATGCAAGTCCAGGCGTGTCATGGTCCATGACGTGTCTATGCGTGTCAGGTGTGTCACTGCTCCGTGGACTATGTTCACGGCGTGTCACTGGTCCATGCGTGTCAGGCGTGTCACTGGTCCAGACGAGTCTGGGTAGTGAGCAGCCTGGACACGCCATGGACCAGTGACACGCCTGGAACGCCACGGACCAATGGACACGCCCGGACACGCATGGACCAGTGACACGCCTGGACCAATGACCACGTGGACACGCCAAGGACCAGTGACACGCCTGGACACGACATGGACCAGTGACTCGTTCAAGGAACCAGTGACACGCAGGACCAGTGACACGCCATGGCCAGTGACCGCCATGGACCAGTTACCGCCATGGACACTTCATGCCAGTGACACGCCGGTACACGCCATGGACCAGTGACACGCCTGGACAGTCGTGGACCAGTGAAACGTCATGGACCGTGACACGCCATGGACCAGTTACACACCTTAGACCAGTTGTCACACCTGGACAAGTCTTAGGACCGTGACACACTGGACCGCTTAGAACAGAGACACCACCTGGTGGGGAAGAGATTAGGAGGTGGACAAAAATATAACGTTGCAATAATTTCTTTGAACGCCAATTTGAGAATGCTTTATTTTATTATCTTTTTTTAATTTCCAATTACATATTAACAATTAAGGAAGGAAAGTGCCCAAAGGTCTAATGAGTGCCTACAAAGCAAATCACTGCTTTATTATGTACATTTCAGTAAATTATTGAGCCTTTTTGGGATGACATGTTTTTTTCATGTGGACCTCACTCTCTGCTCTGACCATGTGGACGTCACTCTCTGCTCTGACCATGTGGACGTCACTACGCTGCTCTGACCATGTGGACTCTCTGCTCTGACCATGTGGACGTCACTCTCTGCTCTGACCATGTGGACGTCACTCGCTGCTCTGACCATGTGGACTCTCTGCTCTGACCATGTGGACGTCACTCTCTGCTCTGACCATGTGGACGTCACTCTCTGCTCTGACCATGTGGACGTCACTCTCTGCTCTGACCATGTGGACGTCACTCTCTGCTCTGAACATGTGGACGTCACTCTCTGCTCTGACCATGTGCACCTCACTCTCTGCTCTGACCATGTGGACGTCACTCGCTGCTCTGACCATGTGGACGTCACTCTCTGCTCTGACCATGTGGACGTCACTCTCTGCTCTGACCATGTGGACGTCACTCTCTGCTCTGACCATGTGGACGTCACTAGCTGCTCTGACCATGTGGACCTCACTCTCTGCTCTGACCATGTGGACGTCACTCTCTGCTCTGACCATGTGGACGTCACTCTCTGCTCTGACCATGTGGACGTCACTCTCTGCTCTGACCATGTGGATGTCACTCTCTGCTCTGACCATGTGGACGTCACTCTCTGCTCTGGCCATGTGGACGTCACTCGCTGCTCTGACCATGTGGACGTCACTCTCTGCTCTGACCATGTGGACGTCACTCTCTGCTCTGACCATGTGGACGTCACTCTCTGCTCTGACCATGTGGACGTCACTCTCTGCTCTGACCATGTGGACGTCACTCTCTGCTCTGACCATGTGGACGTCACTCTGCTCTGACCATGTGGACGTCACTCTCTGCTCTGACCATGTGGACGTCACTCTCTGCTCTGACCATGTGGACATCTCTCGCTGCTCTGACCATGTGGACGTCACTCTCTGCTCTGACCATGTGGACGTCACTCTCTGCTCTGACCATGTGGACGTCACTCTCTGCTCTGACCATGTGGACGTCACTCTCTGCTCTGACCATGTGGACGTCACTCTCTGCTCTGACCATGTGGACGTCACTCTCTGCTCTGACCATGTGGACGTCACTCTCTGCTCTGACCATGTGGACGTCACTCGCTGCTCTGACCATGTGGACGTCACTCGCTGCTCTGACCATGTGGACGTCACTCTCTGCTCTGACCATGTGGACGTCACTCTCTGCTCTGACCATGTGGACGTCACTCTCTGCTCTGACCATGTGGACGTCACTCTCTGCTCTGACCATGTGGACGTCACTCGCTGCTCTGACCATGTGGACGTCACTCTCTGCTCAGACCATGTGGACGTCACTCTCTGCTCTGACCATGTGGACGTCACTCGCTGCTCTGACCATGTGGACGTCACTCTCTGCTCTGACCATGTGGACGTCACTCGCTGCTCTGACCATGTGGACTCTCTGCTCTGACCATGTGGACGTCACTCTCTGCTCTGACCATGTGGACGTCACTCTCTGCTCTGACCATGTGGACGTCACTCTCTGCTCTGACCATGTGGACGTCACTCTCTGCTCTGGCCATGTGGACGTCACTCGCTGCTCTGACCATGTGGACGTCACTCTCTGCTCTGGCCATGTGGACGTCACTCTCTGCTCTGACCATGTGGACGTCACTCTCTGCTCTGACCATGTGGACATCTCTCGCTGCTCTGACCATGTGGACGTCACTCTCTGCTCTGACCATGTGGACGTCACTCTCTGCTCTGACCATGTGGACGTCACTCTCTGCTCTGATCATGTGGACGTCACTCTCTGCTCTGACCATGTGGACGTCACTCGCTGCTCTGACCATGTGGACGTCACTCGCTGCTCTGACCATGTGGACGTCACTCTCTGCTCTGACCATGTGGACGTCACTCTCTGCTCTGACCATGTGGACGTCACTCGCTGCTCTGACCATGTGGACTCACTCTGCTCTGACCATGTGGACGTCACTCTCTGCTCTGACCATGTGGACGTCACTCTCTGCTCTGACCATGTGGACGTCACTCTCTGCTCTGACCATGTGGACGTCACTCTCTGCTCTGACCATGTGGACGTCACTCTCTGCTCTGACCATGTGGACGTCACTCTCTGCTCTGACCATGTGGACGTCACTCTCTGCTCTGACCATGTGGACGTCACTCGCTGCTCTGACCATGTGGACGTCACTCTCTGCTCTGACCATGTGGACGTCACTCGCTGCTCTGACCATGTGGACGTCACTCTCTGCTCTGACCATGTGGACGTCACTCGCTGCTCTGACCATGTGGACTCTCTGCTCTGACCATGTGGACGTCACTCCTGCTGCTCTGACCATGTGGACGTCACTCTGCTCTGACCATGCTGATGTGGACGTCACTCTCTGCTCTGACCATGTGGACGTCACTCTCTGCTCTGACCATGTGGACGTCACTCTCTGCTCTGACCATGTGGACGTCACTCTCTGCTCTGACCATGGGACTCCTCGTGGATGTGCGTCACTCTCTGCTCTGACCATGTGGACGTCACTCTCTGCTCTGACCATGTGGACGTCACTCGCTGCTCTGACCATGTGGACGTCACTCTCTGCTCATGACCACTCTGCCTGACCATGTGGACGTCACTCTCTGCTCTGACCATGTGGACGTCACTCTCTGCTCTGACCATGTGGACGTCACTCTCTGCTCTGACCATGTGGACGTCACTCGCTGCTCTGACCATGTGGACGTCACTCTCTGCTCTGACCATGTGGACGTCACTCTCTGCTCTGACCATGTGGACGTCACTCTCTGCTCTGACCATGTGGACGTCACTCTCTGCTCTGACCATGTGGACGTCACTCTCTGCTCTGACCATGTGGACGTCACTCTCTGCTCTGACCATGTGGACGTCACTCTCTGCTCTGACCATGTGGACGTCACTCTCTGCTCTGACCATGTGGACGTCACTCTCTGCTCTGACCATGTGGACGTCACTCTCTGCTCTGACCATGTGGACGTCACTCTCTGCTCTGACCATGTGGACGTCACTCTCTGCTCTGACCATGTGGACGTCACTCTCTGCTCTGACCATGTGGACGTCACTCTCTGCTCTGACCATGTGGACTCACTCTCTGCTCTGACCATGTGGACGTCACTCTCTGCTCTGACCATGTGGACGTCACTCTCTGCTGTGGACTGACCATGTGGACGTCACTCTCTGCTCTGACCATGTGGACGTCACTCTCTGCTCTGACCATGTGGACGTCACTCTCTGCTCTGACCATGTGGACGTCACTCTCTGCTCTGACCATGTGGACGTCACTCTCTGCTCTGACCATGTGGACGTCACTCTCTGCTCTGACCATGTGGACGTCACTCTCTGCTCTGACCATGTGGACGTCACTCTCTGCTCTGACCATGTGGACGTCACTCTCTGCTCTGACCATGTGGACGTCACTCTCTGCTCTGACCATGTGGACGTCACTCTCTGCTCTGACCATGTGGACGTCACTCCTGCTCTGACCATGTGGACGTCACTCTCTGCTCTGACCATGTGGACGTCACTCTCTGCTCTGACCATGTGGACGTCACTCTCTGCTCTGACCATGTGGACGTCACTCGCTGCTCTGACCATGTGGACGTCACTCGCTGCTCTGACCATGTGGACGTCACTCTCTGCTCTGACCATGTGGACGTCTCTCGCTGCTCTGACCATGTGGACGTCACTCTCTGCTCTGACCATGTGGACGTCACTCTCTGCTCTGACCATGTGGACGTCACTCTCTGCTCTGACCATGTGGACGTCACTCGACTGCTCTGACCATGTGGACGTCACTCTCTGCTCTGACCATGTGGACGTCACTCTCTGCTCTGACCATGTGGACGTCACTCTCTGCTCTGACCATGTGGACGTCACTCTCTGCTCTGACCATGTGGACGTCACTCTCTGCTCTGACCATGTGGACGTCACTCTCTGCTCTGACCATGTGGACGTCACTCTCTGCTCTGACCATGTGGACGTCACTCTCTGCTCTGACCATGTGGACGTCACTCGCTGCTCTGACCATGTGGACGTCACTCGCTGCTCTGACCATGTGGACGTCACTCTCTGCTCTGACCATGTGGACGTCTCTCGCTGCTCTGACCATGTGGACGTCACTCTCTGCTCTGACCATGTGGACGTCACTCTCTGCTCTGACCATGTGGACGTCACTCTCTGCTCTGACCATGTGGACGTCACTCGCTGCTCTGACCATGTGGACGTCACTCTCTGCTCTGACCATGTGGACGTCACTCTCTGCTCTGACCATGTGGACGTCACTCTCTGCTCTGACCATGTGGACGTCACTCTCTGCTCTGACCATGTGGACGTCACTCGCTGCTCTGACCATGTGGACGTCACTCGCTGCTCTGACCATGTGGACGTCACTCTCTGCTCTGACCATGTGGACGTCACTCTCTGCTCTGACCATGTGGACGTCACTCTCTGCTCTGACCATGTGAACGTCACTCTCTGCTCTGACCATGTGGACGTCACTCGCTGCTCTGACCATGTGGACGTCACTCTCTGCTCTGACCATGTGGACGTCACTCTCTGCGTAGAAGGAACTGAACAATCACCTTCCATCACTCTCAGTCTTTGCATCATTGCAGAAGAAACTGATTAGAGTTAACTCTGGAGCCAAATGCAACCAAATGACCAAGCGTGAGCCGTGGTCTGTCCTTGCTTGCTCTACTCACTCTGATAAGTCTAAAATTTAGTCTAAAAGTCAGTCCACTGCTGATACATACGGCTATGACTAAACCATGCCGTATGGTTTAGTCATAGCCAAGACAGAGGAGTTGTCTTTTCAAAGCTTCGTCCACAAAGTCCCTATAGGCTTCACTGAGCGAGAGGGTTAACATTAACAAGTATTTAGCAGTGAGTTTGGAAACATTAGCAAATTGTAGAAGCGTTTAACTTCTTTCTCACATTCCATGCATACATTTGACCACCTGGCTCTCAACAACAATATTATTACCGGACCATACTTTCCAAGTAAACGGCACCGGCAAGATTTTTTTTTTTAAAAGTACATTTTGTCCACATATAGGCCACACTTGAATGTAAGCTGCAGGGGTTCATGTAATGTAGCAGATAGACACCTGTTTTAACTGAACACAACAAGATTTCATGGCAAGGGGTTTAACAAGCTGTGGGTTCGAGCTCACCACGAGACCAACTTCACGACTCCCACTGATGATGCTGTCGTTGTGTCCTTGGGCAAGACACTTAACCCCACTTTGCCTGAAACTCACCACCTGCAGGAGGATCAGTGAGAGGCTGGTGCTAAGTGTGCAGCTCTGACTTCTTCTAAGAAAATTTTGATTGATTGATTGAAATGGAAATAATTTGTATCCATTTTGAGTAATTATTTTTACCCAGGGGCCATATTGGGATATTGTGATGTTATTTAGGGGCCAGACCCTCTAATATAGCATTACAATAGGTTATCATGTGTTCTTAAATCTCAAATGTTTTAATATCCTGTTCTGTTCCCGCCCTCATGAATTTGACCTGTGTTTAAATGTCTTTCCATTGGTCGCTAGTCTATTGTCTGTCCATTTTGTTGGTTCCTGTGTTTTGTGTGGATGTTTTAGTTTGTTTTTACCTTGTACCTTTATTAATATCATCATTAAATCATTCCTGCATGTCAGGTCTTCTTTTGTTTTTCACCTCTTAACAGAATTTGTGTTTTTTTTGTTTTGCTTCCTATTGTGTGTTGTGAAAATGAACAAGCACTCCTTTATACTGAGTGTACTGCCATCCATTGTTCCTAATGTGCAGACTGTGCCGCTGAGGAAAGGGGTATATAAACATTCTATGAAAAGCTGCGAAGGGGCCGCATACCTGACGGACACGTGAAATGGGCGGCATATGGTCAAGGCTTGTTTTGGGAAAGTGCCTCTTTCTCTCTCAACAATAAAAATAAAAAAAACTTGTTAGCTTTCAGAAATGTCTTAAATCTGCTCTTCCTCTACCCGTAAAAAGATTTTACTGGCCGCAAGCCAAATATGATGGACATAATTGTTTGAGAAAATGTGGCAGCCTTTCTCTCTAACCCCAGAGCCGTACTGCTGCGTCGCCATCTCGTGAGGCAGACAGAGACCCTTTGTCGGTCTGAGCAGTGCAGGAAGCCGAGACAGCGTGGCCAGCAGAGGAGACTGCTGCCAGGACACTTGCTTTTTATTGAGTATTTTCTGTGGAGAGCTTTGCGGTTGACATGCACAGATGATTGATGGCACAAGGGCCCGGATATGAAGCTTCCTCGTTGCAATGATGCGCACGTATATTTGCCTGAAAGGCCGGATCGGCGGATCACCACAGCACCTGTCCGTCTCCTCGGGCAAGCCAGGCGCCGATGGACTAGATCCTTTTTAAATGTAAGCAGGGAACGTTTTTTATTCTGCTTCTAAACTTTTTCTTGGCAAGCCTGTATCAATCAATCAACTAGGTCAGTGGTTCTCAAACCTTTTACACCATGTACCACCTCAGAAAATACTTGCCTCTCCAAGTACCACCACAAACGACCAACACTAAACAGTAGCATAATAAGCCTAAGTATTCGTCAAAAACAAGGCAGAGGTTTCATTCCTAAAGAAGCTTTTGTATTTGCTGCTCCTATGGTACGTGTTGCAAAAAGACTGGAAATGATCTGACTGTATTTGATTGAATGCTTTCAGATCCAGAAGGGTAAATGTTGACGATTCAGGTCAACTCATTCAGTCACTTTAGAGGATCAGTATGTTTTATTATGAAATCCAATGTAGTGATTTCTTTGACTGATTGACTATTTTACTGCAAATAGACCAGATCATAATATATATCTCAAGTACGAAACATTACAGTTGATATACCGTGTTTGGATGTACGGATGCAGATTTTGATTATTTCAGTTTTTTTTGGGTTTTTTTTATTGTTACATTTGACTAAGTAAGTATTTTTTCGTTCAACCACATCTGCATAATAAATGCAGATGTGATTCATTACACGGAGCAGCAGATCTTCTCCTTCAGTCGTCTAAATGAAACTACAAAAAGCTTTAGTTGCAGTTTCCATTTTCGTCGCTACTATGAAATGCAGAACGATGTTAGTGCTTTCTTTTCTGGCTTCGCGGTGGCCTGTGGAGGATGCTGTTGAGGAAGTTCTTTATACTGGTGGGGTTGTAAAGTCCCACTGCCCACCAATGCCTGGGCGCTAGAACTACATCGTTTTCTGTCGTTGTGTAGACACTGTGCACTTAGAATACGGAGCCTGGTTGTATTTGCGAATTGCTCTGAGAGTCTGCGCAGAGTCTCTGGAGAGTCTCCGCAGAGTCTCTGGAGAGTCTCCGCAGAGTCTCTGGAGAGTCTCCGCAGAGTCTCTGGAGAGTCTCCGCAGAGTCTCTGGAGAGTCTGCGCAGAGTCTCTGGAGAGTCTCCGCAGAGTCTCTGGAGAGTCTCCGCAGAGTCTCTGGAGAGTCTCCGCAGAGTCTCTGGAGAGTCTGCGCAGAGTCTCTGGAGAGTCTGCGCAGAGTCTCTGGAGAGTCTGCGCAGAGTCTCTGGAGAGTCTGCGCAGAGTCTCTGGAGAGTCTCCGCAGAGTCTCTGGAGAGTCTGCGCAGAGTCTCTGGAGAGTCTGCGCAGAGTCTCTGGAGAGTCCTCCGCAGAGTCTCTGGAGAGTCTCCGCAGAGTCTCTGGAGAGTCTGCGCAGAGTCTCTGGAGAGTCTCCGCAGAGTCTCTGGAGAGTCTCCGCAGTGGCTCCGTCTAAACTTGGCCTGAGACTGGTCACTTCACCAGTGCATATTTGCACCTGGTTGAGTTGATTTTAAAATCTGAACTCTGACAAACACGTCAGCCATTCATGTTAAAATAAAGGACTTTTGACTGACTTCACCTCGCTGTCGTGTCTTGGATGATTCTCTCTCTCTTCCGTTTACTTTTGGCCACAGATTCATCCTTGCTTTCAGGGCAACTGTGTGGCGCTCTCACCTGCTCTTTAACTAAAGTATATTCAAAGTAGTGTTGGCACCAGGCAGATACATTTTTGTGTGGAATTAGTTCTGTTTCACACAAAATTTGATTAATTCAGGCAAAGGAATTGTAATCAAAGGTTTTTTTTGTAATTGATCAAATTCTGCTAAATTGCCCCATCATTTAACTGGGGTCTGAACTCAGGTTTGTGCCTATGTTGTGGGTCCCTGTCTGAACATTTTGGGTATCCCTGTGCTCAAAGAGGCGTGTGTGCGTGTGCGTGTGTGTGTATGTGTATGTGTGATATCCGTATCAGACTCCCTCCACCTTAACACAATTGTAAAAAAAACAGAAAACATTTGTGATAATTGAGAGAATTTTTGTATGCAACACATCTCAAAATTAGAATTTGATAATAATGTGCGATGCAGTTCAGCATGATCAAAGCACAGTGATTTGAGAGTGGTGCTCATAATTACAAGCAATAACCTCAAATTAAACCAGCAAAGAACTGATTGGTGTGAAGACGCTGCAAGCAGAATGATCTTAGCTGTGCAGGAGAGTTTCTAATATCATCATCACTGAAGACACACACTTTCTTCATTCCTTGCTGCTGTTTGTGAGATTGGCAGCCCCATTAGCTCTGTCCACGATGTCAAAGACTTTGTCAATTCAGTTTATTTTTGTATAGCCCCTAAATCTGCAGCCCCCTTGGAGGACTTTACATTCGTATCAATTCAGAACAGAACAGATCCGAGAATCATAACAGTTCAAGAAATGCAATGATGCCTGGCTTGTGTAGGAAAATCAGGAAACACAGAGGATAAGTGAGTTCTATTTGGCAGAATGACAGAGACTTCCCAGTTGCCATTCGTTTTAAAAACATGCAACATGATCTGTGCTTCTGTGGCATCAATCAGGTGCCAACTATAAAACATTATTTAAAAAAACGTCAAGTGATTTAATTTAAGTTTGGAAATGACAGTCCACCTGCAGCTCTCTTACTTTTCACTGTGAATGATACAAAACCATGAATGTAAGGGTGAAGAAGTTGAAATGATAACAATAAATATATCACAGATTGTAATCCTCATCTTCTTCTACTAGAAAGAGGCGTAGATTATTTTGCAACATCAAACATTTTCTACTGAAACTATATCTATGCAGACAAAGCTCCAAATGCATACTCTGAACATGAAGTAACAGTGCACTGATTCAGCTCAGAGGACCAGGTTTAAGAGGGGGGCATTTAGACGGAAGGGGTGGGATAGAGTAAAAATAACCCCAGGTCTCAAAAAAGAAAAAAGAAAAACGTGTTCTTTCAATTAACACGGTTCTGAAAAGCCAGAAGTTCTCACCAAGATACATTATGGAGGTGTTGAAATTCTTTGTTATTTCTCTTTCTCTTTATTTCTAAATTCCCCTTTACTTTACTTTCTATTTTTCATTTTTAATACGCCGCTGGTGCATTTTCATAAAGAGTGCCCCCGATCACGCCGCAGACTTGTATTATTACTTTGGGTTTTTTATTTATTACGCCTCACTTGGGCAAGAACACAGATGGCGCTGGAGAGCAGGCTTTTAAAACCCCAGAATTTCCATGTCAAAGTGTCTCGTCAATCAGGCACTGCTGCTTTGCTTTACCGGTGGCATTAAAGGAGACCTATATGTTTCAGCCAGAGGGGCTTGCGAGGCGCGTATCATCGGCTGTCAGTCACAGGGGCCCCCCGCGGATTTGCCTGAATACAAAGGGCGCATCCAGACAGCAGGTGTAATAGCAAAACATGTCAGGGATGGTTTCATGCTCTGATGATTTGTTTTTTGCCAACGTTTCAGACGTGGAAACAGCGTGCAGCTCAAATAAATGCATCCGTCTTGTGCAAGGGTGAGGGCCAGGCGCAGAGTGACAGGTGAGAATGAGCACCACAGAAGGACGGGCCCCCGCGTCTCTTTGTGTGCTTAGATTACACACAGCATCGAGGGGAGATTAAAGGGCCACTCAGTGTTGGTAAAAAAAACTGTTATGACACTTTATGTAACACCTCTGGATCATTATTATAAATGTAGTACATTATTTTCAACATGGATCACTGTTTATTTTGTATCCCACTGTTTTATGTTAAAATACAAACCTAATAGCATGAACAAATAACTCCAACAGTCTCTGGAATCAAGGAAATATATAAAATCAAATCTTTTTTTCTGTCGTTTTTTTTGCAAGCGCCAGTTTGACCCGCCCCCACAAGTTCCTGAATGGACACAATTTATTAAAATCGTTGACAGACAGTTGAAGCTCCTCAGCATTGATCTTACTATTCTTGTATTCTTGTTGGTGATGCTTAATGCCAAGAGGAGGAACTGATTTATATATATTTATTATACTACAGGGTCATATGGTGAAAAAATATGCAGTTGCAGACATCACCTGACTAACTTCAATAAATATGCAAATGTGGAGAGTTTTGCTTTTTTCTAAGAGCTAAGACAGTTTTTATCTCATTCCTAGTGAATTTACAATTTCTATTTCTAAATAAATTTTTTTGTAGTTGAGCAGATAGAAGAAATGTTGCCCAGGAAAGGTTTGCAACTCACTTAACATCCCCCGGTCCACCAGTTGAGAACCAATGGACTAAATAGCTCAGAAGTGTTGTGTATAGATCATACTGTATATGGGGGACGTACACAGAGCATGAATCCCCTGGTGTGAAGCTGGAATGAATGGGTAATGCTGTCGCGATCGATCGGCCTGCGTTTGGATGTGTCCCGGGTGAAAGCAGAGCATTAAATGAGAGGGAAAGTTTGGTAAGGTCATTGTCTAGTTTTTCCACGAGTTTGTTTGTCGAATGCGGCGAAACTTGTGAGGAGCTGTGATGTTACTATCGAAGCAGGGATGGGTGTCGCGGAATGACAAGTGATATGTGGGAAAGCAGAGGCCTCTGCTCAGGACTTTTTATGACTCTGTGGTAGCTTCTGCCCTATACTACGCTGCCGTGTGCTGGGCCCCGGGCAGCACAGAGCGGGACAGAAACAGACTGAACAAGCTGGTCAGGAGGAGGTGAGGGACAGGAGGCCCCTGGACTCTGTGGAGGAGGTGAGGGACAGGAGGCCCCTGGACTCTGTGGAGGAGGTGAGGGACAGGAGGCCCCTGGACTCTGTGGAGGAGGTGAGGGACAGGAGGCCCCTGGACTCTGTGGAGGAGGTGAGGGACAGGAGGCCCCTGGACTCTGTGGAGGAGGTGAGGGACAGGAGGCCCCTGGACTCTGTGGAGGAGGTGAGGGACAGGAGGCCCCTGGACTCTGTGGAGGAGGTGAGGGACAGGAGGCCCCTGGACTCTGTGGAGGAGGTGAGGGACAGGAGGCCCCTGGACTCTGTGGAGGAGGTGAGGGACAGGAGGCCCCTGGACTCTGTGGAGGAGGTGAGGGACAGGAGGCCCCTGGACTCTGTGGAGGAGGTGAGGGACAGGAGGCCTCTGGACTCTGTGGAGGAGGTGAGGGACAGGAGGCCCCTGGACTCTGTGGAGGAGGTGAGGGACAGGAGGCCCCTGGACTCTGTGGAGGAGGTGAGGGACAGGAGGCCCCTGGACTCTGTGGAGGAGGTGAGGGACAGGAGGCCTCTGGACTCTGTGGAGGAGGTGAGGGACAGGAGGCCCCTGGACTCTGTGGAGGAGGTGAGGGACAGGAGGCCCCTGGACTCTGTGGAGGAGGTGAGGGACAGGAGGCCCCTGGACTCTGTGGACTCCATCATGAACAACACCTCCCACTGCACAGGACTGAGGAGGAGCTGAGGAGCTCCTTCAGAGTAAGAAGGAGCAGGGCCTTTATCCCCACCGCTGTCAGACTGTACAATAAGTCACTTTAAGTCACTGCATTAGGACTGAAGAACCTGCACTACTATTGACACTGTTTCTTGATTGCCACTTTTTATTGTACATAATATATCCTGAATTTAACATGTTGCACATGTCTTTCTTTTGCACAACCTGAGTGATTCTATCCATGTCAGATGTGACATGTGCATTTCTCCTGTGGGAGATCAATAAAGTCTGTCTTATCTTATCTTAATGGGACGGGAGAAGAGTGTGTGAATTATGGAGATTTGTAGATGTTTTTCATATGTTTTGGTGTATTAAATACAATGTTTTATATGCTTTAAAGTTTTTTCATCAATAGGATACGAAACTTTCCTTGTCTTGTAAAATTAAAATATTGAGTCTGTCTTATTAGAAAACATTTGGATACTTGTAAGAAAAATGTGAGTGACTATTCGACGCTTTGGGCTAAGAGCTGATTGGCTGGGCGATGGTGGTCCTCTGTACTGGAAAAGTTGATAGAAGTCAAAAGATGTGACAGATTCCAAAAATAAATGCAAAGTAAATGTGAAACATGTGAAAACCAGTGAACCGTTTTTAGAGCAAGAACTAGTGAGATGGATTTTATTACATAGTTCATTTTTGTGTTTTGAATCCAATTCAATTAGTTTAAAAATAACGGAGAAACATTGCTGTCATCGTTGAAGACTTGTTTAAAGCTCCATCCCAGCTTATTTCAGAAATATTCTGCCCCAAATGGTCCCCTCTCCTTTCAAACGATTATTGCGATCTAATTTGTAATTTGACTTGCAATGACTATTATTATTTAACCCTTTGAAATCAACCAAATACAGAGAGTATTAGTAGTTTATTACATTTAGTGGTGTCCAATGTTGGTCTAAAATGTACTCAGAGGAGACAGTTGTATACTTGTTGAAATAGATCGCTAAGAGGCACCTGAGACAGTCCAACACATAACTGCAGTGTGCAAGATGCTGCAGGGAAGACCTACATGGAACGCCATAACCAAGTGGCTGCATAGTGTACAGAAACATCTGTGCAGAGTATGGGCTGGAAATCGACAGGTCGCGATGGGAAACTCCTCCAAAGGTGGGGGAGAAGATCCTGTGGGACTTTCAGATGCAGACCGACCAAAAGGTAATTTCAAATCAAGCTGACATCGTGGTGATGGACAAAGGGCAGAAAGCCGTGGTAGTGAACGTGGCAATGGTAACACCGGGGAAATAAGAGCACCAAACGCTTGCCAAATACCAAGGGCTCAGAGAGAGGAGCTGGAGAGGGCCTGGAAGGTAAAGATGACAGGAGGGCCCGTGGTGATCGGTGCACTCGGGGCAGTGACCCCGAAGTTGGACGAGTGGTTACAGCAGGACCCTGGAACTACCTCTAAAATCTCGATCCAGAAATGTGCACTCGAAACATCAGAGATACTGCAAAACCCTCAAGCTCCCAGGCCTCTGGTAGATTAACAGTAAGCATTTACACTCTTAACTTTCTCTTCAAATGTTTAAGTACAGCTAACTAACTGCAAGTCAGCCAGCAAGTCTCCACTGCTTTAGCCTGGTCGTACCACACCATAGTACAAATTACATTTCGTACTAAGGTCTGGATTTGCTCCATTGACTCCATTAACAGGTGGGAGGGGTTAACTCCTTTTGCAGATTGAAACGATTGGATCCGAGTTTACTGTCACGTATGTAGTGCGCGAGTCTGTTGTTAGCATTTAGCCTAGCCATCTCCTTTGCCGCTAACGGAGCCCGTGGGGAGTAGCGCCACAATCTATTCTAGCAATAACGTTTGCTAAACATTCCTATTGCTCTGGCTTCAATTTCTTGACAGAACCAGACCGGATAACTTTACTATCGCGTTTTTCATCATTACCAAACTACGACCTTCCCGTTCGACGCAAACTCTTGACATCACCCACAACTAACTACAACACCCGCCTCCCGTGCTCTCTGATTGGTCGGTCAAAATTCAACCTATTGTAATCCCAAACACAGGGACCAGACCCAGACGTTACATGCAGTGAAATGATGATTGAACGGAGTGTACGGGTGGATAAGACCAGACTAACACTGCTTAAGTGAACAAAAAAAAGGATAATAAATGAAGGGGTGAGGTGGAGTTTGGAATCATATAAGCGTTGGCTTCATCAACTCCCTTTCAAACCATGTACGTATCTGTTCGTACCGTGAAGTTTGTGTTGTGCCGGTTTGAATAAACATTTTAAATAACTAAATAACTGGTCTTTTGAGTGGAGTAACTAGTTCTAGTGTAAGTGGATCTATGATAAGCTGAAGTATCTCCAGTTTCATCACTGTTATAGGGAAGAATATAGATAATCACCATGTATTACTCTGTTGTTGATGGGTGCAGATTCTAGACCTAAATTCTCTAAAAGTCCTTGTTAGAGAGGATGGCAAGCACTCCGGCAGTCACTGAGATTTCCAACACGCATCCGTCCAACTTTACTAATTCGTCCTAAAGTTTGAGACGGTGGTGGCTGCACGTCTGACGCTCTCAGAAGTGGAGGAGGTGTTTGAGGGCAGGTCCTGGAGGAACTCGATCACCAGCCATCCGAGTATGTCCACATTCCCTCCGCATGGCTCACTCAGGCCGGCTATCCTCTGAGTCTGCACGTCCTCAAAGGAACCAGAAACAAAAACAACAATAAACAACATCCCTACTGTCAGTGTCAATGTACCAAGCAGCGTCTAGCGGAAATGCCAAGAGCACAGACCGCCTGCTCCAGAGATGAACATCCAGACATGACAGCAACACAGGAAATGTGCTGGTGAAATGCCCTCCTTTCCTGCACATGAGAAGCAGATATTGAGCAGGAAAGGCTGAAAGAGGACCAAAGACAAATCTTAAAGAAGACATATTACACTAGATAACATTTTTTGAGCTTCTAACCAGGTTACCAGTGGGGGCGGGTCCCGGCTCAAAAGTGGCCAAAATGACGTGCGCTGACATGCTGCAGTACCACCCCGGGCCTGTGGGGGTGGACCCGGAATAAGAATTAGTCAATGCTAACATGTAGCATCTTCTTACCTCTGGAAAACGTCTTTACAGGATGGTCCAAAAGTGTCTCTTGGCCCAAAGCTCTGTTCCACATGTGTGTCAATGCTGAGTGTTCTGGACCAGTCTAGTTTAGTCGCTATGGACTTTAGAAGTCACTCGTTAAATGAATGGGGCCCGTGCAGCTGACGCAGGCGCATTTTTTCACATTTTCCAGCCCCCGCGGCCATTTTGAAACTGCCCATAGACCGTGGAAGTTGTTGCACATTAGTTAGAACGGCGGAGATAGGCGTGACTACGTCCGTTAATATTTACACTCTATGGTTACAACATTGTTCCCTCATCAATCACAAGCCTGGCGTTGTTTTTAGATCTGACTACCATCAGACTTCTGTACTTCTGGCACAAACATGTAACTTTGGTTCTTCATTTTAAAACCACTGTCCGAATATGGTCAATTTTCTACTTAAGATTGTATTGTAAGTCGAAGGTCTCATTTTAATTTTTGTTGACCAAAAGTTGCACGATAAAGTGTAAAAATGTTTTGCCTTGCATTGGACGGACCACAACCACTTTATAAAACTACTACAAATACTGCATTTTTCTTGTTGTTTATTATGCTCTTATTTGAGTTGACTGATTTCCTATTGTTGGAGGACTGTTAATATCGAAGGTTGTATTGTATTATGTTGTACTTGCTTTTTATGTTCAGAACTTCAGAAACTGTGTGTTTGTGAATAATGTAGATTAGATTTACTTCTGGTTCTGTCCTACCAAACAGCAGTGAAAAAGCTGCTTCTCTCACACCTGTGAGGTGGAGCCTCTCCTGATAATGGAGCCTATTACACATGGCTGTCTGTGTCGTGTCTGATTGGGGTCATTCCCCGATGAGCAAAACACTGCTCTTGTGTTTTAGTCTTTTGGCTGAGGACAAATAAGAGCAATAAAATCATACTGTTTCATAGCATGTTGCTTACATGTGCGTCAGGTGAAGAAAGTTATAAAAATACACAAAAGTCATACAAGGGACAATACTTCCACTACATAAATTACAATAATACAATCCTTGTCGATTCTACATAATGACAAGCTGCGTAACAAGAGTGAAGCTCTTACCATCATAGTTTAAACTGTTGGACATTTTGTTCTCTGACACTCCATTTCACCACGGGTCAAAAAACATGGTCTTCACTCAGTGTGTAAAGGCCTTTTGATCACTCTCACACATGGCTGTCCTGTATGTGTTTGCAGGCTCCAAAGTGCTGAATGCCACCGGTCGGTCCTTCACAGTGAGGAGCAGTCTGCAGTTCCAGGTGGACCGCAGAGAGGACAGCGTGGCCTACACCTGCAGCGTGGAGCACGTGTCCTTGTCCACTCCCTACATGACCACAGAGGTGCTGGAGGTTCATTGTGAGTGCTGCCCATGGATCTATTATAATAACTGGAGAGGGTGTTACTAGCTTGGAGCTGAAGAACTCATGTGCTCGGACTAAACTAAACCAGACTAAATTCACGTGGGCTACCCAGACATTTTCCCCATAGAACTCAGTTTAAACTAAAACAGCTTGACCTCAGCTGACAGAGAACCTGACAGAGAACCTGACAGAGAACCTGACAGAGAACCTACAGCTTTCATAAAGGTCAGATTTTGTGGGGATGTTAGTGTCCCTTGTCATCCTGAACTTTTTTCTTCTTAAATCCTTGGGTTTTGTTTAAATCCACACTTTAGTGCCACAAACTCTGCTCGTCTGGCTCTGGCTCTAACTCCCGCTCTGATGAACTGCTCTGATTGGTCAGAGCGCAGCCGAGCCCCTCTGTGCACGTGCGTGAGACCCGGTGTGAGACCCACACACACGTGTTTGACACAATGCATTATGGGAGATCATCCACTGCACAGAACCGGGAGGACCAGACGATGCCCAAATACAGGAGAGTTTCTCATAGATCTATGAGAGTTTCCCATAGATCTTTGAGAGTTTCCCATAGATCTATGAGAGTTTCCCATAGATCTTTGAGAGTTTCCCATAGATCTTTGACAGTTTCCCATAGATCTTTGAGAGTTTCCCATAGATCTTTGAGAGTTTCCCATAGATCTTTGAGAGTTTCCCATAGATCTTTGAGAGTTTCCCATAGATCTTTGAGAGTTTCTCATAGATCTTTGAGAGTTTCCCATAGATCTATGAGAGTTTCCCATAGATCTTTGACAGTTCCAGGCGAGTTCCGCTAATATGTCAGCGACCGTGCCGGTGCAAAGCGCCACTGAGCACAACCATTCATTTGAATAGGGCGCCATCCTGGATCGCCGGGGCTTGGTGCTGCCCCCACTGTCTGCACAAACACTGCACATATTCCTGGAACTGACCACTGACATCAACATTCTGCTTATTTTGGATAATCATATTTCAATACGGTCTATAGATCACCTCAAGCACAAATTCAGACAGCAGCACAAGGAGATGTGTAAAAATATCTGTAAAAAGACATGTATAAGGTATCTGAAACGCCCGGCACAACAAGAAGTCACCTCAACCTTTCCAGTTTAAATCTCAAAAGGTTTGGTCAAGGTTAGAATATGTGATGTTTTATACATTTGATCAAAACAAAGCTGAAGTGATGACGCTGGAGAACTTCTTCATAGAGATGAATTGTTTCACTTTGGGTTAGTTGATTAAAAAATAAATTTGTAGACACATTTACATTTTTATTCTGCAGTCATTCCAGAAAAACCTCTACTCTGCATGTTTGCAATTAATCAATGAATTTGTTACAGCCCTAATGCAATCACAACATCTTCTCACTACGACTGCAACACTCCGCCCAGTCCCGGATCAGTGGCGAGCAGTGGAGACACAAGAGCCCAGATTACTTCTCCGTCTGCGGGCTTTGGTTAGCATTTGAGCCGGATTAGTGTGGGATTAGTGGGCAGGTAAGGGATTAGAAAGGCAGAACACAGGGATCCGAAGCTGGAGCTAAGAGATGCCCGGTGGGGGAAGAGCTAACTGAGCGGAGTCTGTGTCGGCGGCGGTTTAAATACGCACTCATATCTTTTCATTGTTTGTCCTTTTTTTTTACTTCCAGATGCACCGCAGTTAGAGATCAGAAACTCACTGATAATTCCACAGGAAGGACAGTACTTCAAGCTGGAGTGTGTGAACAGAGGAAACCCAATGTAAGATATGCAAAGTGAAATTCATTCATTTACGTTCAAAACATTTGTTGCTTTGACTTGGTTCCAATTACTTCCATTGTTTAAGTAATAGTGTCAGAAACACTTGGTAACTTGATATCAGAGATAGGGATATTAAAGTCACAATGATCATACAACCTGAACGATAATAAATGTGATACATTTAGATGACACACATTTTCTATTTAATCTATTTGTGTCTTTTTTCAAGAGCAGTATGATTCAAAGGAAAAAAAGGGGGAGATTCCATATTTAAATCATATTTTATTTTGGGCGGCATCTCTTAGCATTAAAAACATGAACAATAGTTGAGGATGAATGAGGACAATGGGACAACGAATGGAAATGAAGGTTCAATCCCAAATCAACATAATTAGACCATAATCAAGCACTTGTGCAATTGGAAGAAGAATTGTAACATGTTCAACAAAAGACATTCAATAATTGGGGATATTTGTTTAAATTGTGTTTGGTATTTTTTTCTTACTACAACCATAATTCTATTTCATCATAACATCCCTAATCAGAGACGAGTCATACCATTTACAATCTTATTATAGTGCAGTTCATTACAAAAGGTTCCCCACTGGTACATTGAAAAGATGCATTCATTATTTATACTTCATTACTCCCCAAGTTATTGCTGTAATATTTATAGACCTTTGCATTTCGACTCGTGTGTGCACACTAAACATATACTGAATAAGATTTATATGGGACTTGTCAGAGACACAATGAAAAGGGACATCATCCAACAATTCTATCCAGAAAACATGCCCGGTATGTCCATTACTACATTACTTTGACAGAGCTTCATAATTCACAAAGTGATTCACAAAGAATGGCACATTCTAACATTTGTACAGACTTTTGGCACAAGCACAATGAAACCATCCCAACACAACCTTGAAGTGCAGTCCAGGCGCTACTGCATAATGGTAGTGCTCTGACAGAACAAACCCATCACAGCTGCATGCCTATAGAACTACCCGTTAGGATTATGTGCCACTCACTAAAGACTTCATAGATAATACTGAAAGAACCACACTCTGGGTCTTGGACAAGCACAGTGAACAGTGAAAAATAAAACAGTCAAACAAACTATTGATCCAGAATATTGTGGGATGTTGTAAAAAGTTTTGTTTTCAGCAGTTCAATTCAATCTGTTCTTGTTTAGTCCTGAATCACAACAGTAGTTATCTCAACGGACTTAACAAAACCGGTGAATTCCCTACAACTAGATATACCTTGAAAATAATAATTGTGTGCTCTGTGAAAAAATGTAATTTGGTCCTGGGTTAGAGGTCTATAACTACTACTGCCACTGCTCTGGTATGTGAAAGGCGCTATATATATAGAGATTACTATCAATCAATCAATCAAATTTTATTTATAAAGCGCTTCTCATACAAAAAGTGTAACACAAAGTGCTTTACAGTTTAGGTAAAAACAATCCCAGATGCCCAGCCCTAAACCCTCCTCCCCACAGACCCCCCCAAAACCAACTACCATAGTATCAACTACTACTGCTGATACTGCTACTACTACTGCTGATACTGCTACTACTACTGCTGATACTGCTACTACTACTGCTGATACTGCTACTACTACTGCTGATACTGCTACTACTACTGCTGATACTGCTACTACTACTACTACAACTGCTACTACTACTACTACTACTGCTGATACTGCTACTACTACTACTACTACAACTGCTACTACTACTGCTGATACTGCTACTACTACTACTACAACTGCTACTACTACTGCTGATACTGCTACTACTACTACTACAACTGCTACTACTACTACTACTACTACTGCTGATACTGCTACTACTACTACAACTGCTACTGCTACTACTACTTCAACTGCTACTGCTACTACTACTACAACTGCTACTACTACTACAACTGCTACTGCTACTACTACTACAACTGCTACTGCTACTACTACAACTGCTACTGCTACTACTACTACAACAGCTACTGCTACTACTACTACAACTGCTACTGCTACTACTACTGCTGATACTGCTACTACTACTGCTACTGCTACTACTACTACTACAACTGCTACTGCTACTACTACTACAACTGCTACTGCTACTACTACTACAACTGCTACTACTACTGCTGATACTGCTACTACTACTGCTACTACTGCTGATACTGCTACTACTACTACTACAACTGCTACTACTACTGCTACTACAACTGCTACTGCTACTACTACTACAACTGCTACTACTACTGCTGATACTGTTACTACTACTGCTACTACTGCTGATACTGCTACTACTACTGTGTGATGAGCCTATGGCTGGACGATATGGCTGAAAACTATATCACAATGTAAGTGATTCATATCGGTCGATATAGATAATTATTGATTTTTATTTTTGGCGGCTAACAGCAGCCCTTGTTTATAGTCACAGGGGAATGAGAGGCATGTATTCACAAGCACTGTGTCCCCATTGTCAGTCCTGGTTTAATCCTGTTTTAGTCCTGGTTTAGCTCCTGTTTTGGCTGTTTTCAAGTGTCTTGTGTCCCCGTGACGGCTCCGTGTCGTTTTCTGATAGCTGCACGAGCTTCCCGAGGAAAAATTTCATCTCTTGCTTCTGCCACATCCATCATGTTCATGCTCGGCCGTTATAGGTCGAGAAGCCTCTGCCTACATCCCCCAGAATGCCGCATGCTTCTGACTCTGCTTTACTTCCTGTGTTTACTTCCTGTTTTTTCGAACTGAGTGAAGTTAAACTATCAAAGATTCTATTTTCTATTGATAGTGAACACGTGTCTATGGTGATATATATCGTTATCGTTTAATCGCCCAGCCCTAGATAAGCCTTTCCAACCGGTCATTGTGAATCTCTTGGATCCTGGTCTGCAAAAGACTGCCGTATATACATCTTACTGACTCGCTATAATAACACAACACTAGTAGAACAAAACTAGTCTTGTACTCGTGCTTATGTTCTAGTCGTGATTTGGTTTTCTTTGTGCTCCCAGCCCAGACCCAATCCTGTGGTCCAAAGATGGCGGCGATCTCCCAGACGTGGACCGGATGATTGTGGAGGGCACAGAGCTCACCTTCACCATGCTAAACAAGACGGACAACGGCACGTACCGCTGTGAGGCCAGCAATGACCTGGGCACTGCACGCGCCGAGTACATCCTCTTTGTATACGGTGAGTGGCAGGTCCCTAAAGGCCATGTCCAGGAGCTGTTATTCTCTGCGCCATGTTCACTCAGAATCATACAGGGCATTCAGATTTCTTTCATTCCCCCACTCACTCCAGTGTTCCAAGTGGCTCTTTCCCAATTTGTTTTTTTTTCAAACCAAATATAGCGGTAAAATAGAGAGTATTGTTTTATAGCCAGTAGTTTACATGTGGGTCAGGTGTAGCAGTTTTTATAACCACACATAAAAGTCAAACAAGGAACAACATTTTGCATAATGAAAGTAGTAAAGTAAAAAGTAAAAAGGCTTGTAACAAGAGGGATGCTCTTCACCTAAAACTTTCCTTCATAAAGTTTTCCTTGTAAAAAATACATTTGTTGTAACTTTAGAAGACTTTAAAAGTCAGTTTGTTTTCAACACGAAAGGCAAACTTTCCAATGTTGTCTTGGGTCGACACAACGTTTCAACCTGGGTCTGCAGCAGTATGAAATGCCTAAAGACATGTGCATTTTGCTCACTAATTGATATTTAGAACTTTGCGCAATAATTTTGAAAAAAGTGGAATGTTGATGATAGAGAAGCTTCAAACCTGAACTTCCTTTGAAATGGTTCAGTGTTTGGAGTTTTGGGATTTGTGGGATCAATGTCTTCATAGATGTAATTCCTATACTCAAGGATTGCAGACTAGAAGTTTAAGGTGAACTGTGTGTCAGTTTATTTTGCAAATAAAGCGTTTTGTTTGATTTGTTGTTTGTTGGTACACTAACAGCACATCCTGATTTTAGATTCAGAACAAGCTGTATAAGTAAATACGGTCAACACAAACTGTCCGCAAATGCAAACTGTTGTCCACCAGTTATAGCAGATTGATTCCAAAATGTGAAATTACATGAATACTGAACAATATGTTGTAAAAATTAAATTCTACACTTTCAGAGATAATGGGAGTAATAATGTATGAAAAAGATACAATTATTCAAAGTCTAAAATCTCCAGACTTTGAATACAAAGTCTTTTCCGTTCTTCAGAGGTTACATCTATGCTTTTAGTGAAACCTTCTGTTTAATTGTAACAACAAGTATTCTACACTTTCAGACAAACTTAAACATGCCCCCGCGGCTGGAAAGGATAAGTGAGCTTCAAACATCTAATTTCCTCTGTTTGTGTCCATCGTGTGACGAGCTGAATATAGGCTTGGCTTCTGCAGACGCTGTGGAAGTTCTTCTTTAAGACTCCTGACGTGTAAATAAGTGGGTTCTTGATACAAGATGGATGTATAGAAGCTCGGCTTTGTTAGTGTGAGATGCAGATTATTACAAAGTGACCCTAATATCAACATGATCTAAAAAGTTATTACAATTTCAATTAACCTTTTTTGCTGTTGACATACTGATGCAATTCACCTACTGGGGTTGAACTAGAAATGGTTCAAACTTAATGTGGTGACGACTGATTTAGAATCTGCTTTCATTAAATGAATGTGTGATGCACAAAAGTGCATGATGTTATTAAAGCAAACAACCAGATTCAAGAGCCAAGACCAGCTAATTTTAACTTCACAAACTGGCAACTCACACAAGAGACTCATTCTGAGCAGATTGGATAATCTGCTTTAAAATAGTAAACATACTGTAGTGTGTCTCATGTATGTTTGTTTAAGAATAACTACATTTTAAACTTTGTTCAGAATATGATGTGTACCTGTGGCCTGTTTTCTAATATGTAGATGTCATATCAAAATATTATATAAAGTCCCTGTAATCTTTTAAATGCGCTGGAAAACGGCTGAAAGTTCTAAGTACCTCTTAAACAGTTGTTGTTTTGTGCTTTAGAAGTTTTATTCTTATTTATGTTTTCTACCTGAGATGTTGCTGCAGTAGTGTTCATGGTTTTACACTGGTCCAGACCAGAGCAGAGAGGATACATGGTTTGATCAATTTCATTTTTTGCTGCTACTGAACACCTGATCAATAAAGTATCTATCTATATATCTTTATATTCCAAATTCAAAATTTTCGATGAAAAATGAGTCGACTACACTGTTTTCAGTCCTGCGGTATTGCTCTGAACTCTGCTTTTTTTACACAACGTCAGTGAAAAATAGCCCTTTAATCCATTTCTGGGTCTGGGGGGTGGCAGTCGGAGCTCCACCCAATTCACAGAGCACCAGCCCCTCACTGACCCTCTGCAGGTCCACAGGAGGACAGCTGCTCGGTCAATGAGAGCATAGCCTTGATCTTTCAGTATTGATCCTCCGTAGGAGAAATTCAGGTGTTCAGTAGCAGCAGAAACACATCCAGCCATACAAACAAAGCAGATAAATAGATCACAATCTATTGCAATCTAGTGGACGACCGTGGCTCCGATGGTAGAGCATTGGCCTTTGGGCCTGAAGGTCATGGGTTTATCTGAGAGAGAGGAGTTTCTGTGTGAGAGTTGGTGACTTTGTTTCCTCCACAGCCCCCCTGTCGTGTGGGGTGCCGCAAGGGTCCATCCTTGGGCCACTCCTGTTTTTGTTGTATTTGTTGCCATTAGGAACTATCCTCCGGAGGTTTGAGGTGTCATTCCACCTGTACGCAGATAACAGCCAACTCTACAGTATGTGCCCCTTAAGCGCAACAATAACTTTTGCAGCACCCAAATTCTGGAGTGCATATCTAAAATCAAAATGTGGATAGCAGCAAAATGTTTACATTTTAATTAGGGCTGTCAAACAATTAAAATTTTTAAGCGAGTTAATTACAGCTTAAAAATTAATTAATCATAATTAATGGCATTTCGAACTATCGGCAAAATGATGCCATTTTTTCTGTAAATGATTGTTTGAATGGAAGGATAAATGATGACATAGTGTACATATGTAGTGTATTTGTTTATTATAACAATACATCCACATAAAATGGCATTAACATTATTAACATTCTGTCTTTTTGTAGTAGACTAATTTTTTCATCTCAACATATTCCGCATCTGCTAAAGCCTCCTCTACTTTTTCTCTGTCTCATAAAGGCTGTGAGTCCTCTTCATTATTGTGAGTTTGTTACAGGGATGAGGGACATTTGAAAAAAGTCTGAAGTGCATGTCATCATTAACTCTGTTTTATTTTCTCACAACATTTCATTTTTGGCCACAAATAACATGAAATAGTACTGCAAAGGAAAAGATTCAGATTCAGTTTATTTGCCATTTGCAGTAAAAAAACCACATTGGAATACATTAGTAAAAGTCTCCAGTGTGCACAGACAAATACAGACATAAAACAACATTAAAAGACAGAAATAAAACAAATAAAACAGTAAACAAATGTCACTGTGAAATCGATCGACTAAAACAGTTCAAAACAAGTGCAAATCATTAAAGTGCTCTGTTCACACTGATAACAGCCTGTGGATAAAAACTGTTAGCGTAACGAGATGTCCTGCATCTCAGAGAGCGATATCTTCTGCCAGAGGGAAGAAGCTGGAACATGGCTTTCCCAGGGTGGCCAGAAGAGTCATTAACAATCCTAAGAGCTTTGTTTAAAAGTCTGGATTTATAAAGAACCTCCAGAACAGGAAGCTCACAGCCCACGGTCCTCTTTGCAGAGCGGAGCACCTTGTTTAAAGCTCTCTTTTCTTTATCTGTGATGTTTCCAAACCACACAGACACAGAACCAACAAGTAAACTCTCAATGGTGCAGCCATAAAAGTTAAGCAGAATCTTAGAGTTAGTGGTAAATTCTCTAAGTTTACGCAGAAAGTAGAGATGCTGACGAGCTTTCTTAACGACTCGGTCAGTGTTTTTAACCCATTTCAGGTTAGACAGAGTTAAACCCAGAAACTTGCTCCTCTACGATCTGCACCTGGGAGTTGTCGATTACGACAGACAAATGAGAACTATTGTGACTGAAGTCGTGACCAGTTCACATGTTTTGGATGCGTTCAACTGGAGCTTGTTAGTTTGACTCCACTGAACCACATTTTGTATCTCTGCTCTATAAGAGGATTCATCAGTGTCACTGATGAGACCGATGATGGTGGTGTCATCAGCATATTTGATGATCAAGTTAGAGTCAGAGGAGGACACGCAATCGTGAGTGTACAGTGTAAAAAGCAAAGGACTCAAAATACATCCCTGAGGAGAACCAGTGCTCACAGAAACAACATCAGAAAAACACTCTCTGAGATCTGTCAGTTAAAAAGCTAAAAATCCATTTACACATGGCAACACTTAAACCCAGAGACATGAGCTTTCCAATCAGTTTACCTGGGACAAGGCAGTTAAAAGCAGAGCTATAATCGATGAAAAGCATTCTGGCCACAGATTTACTAGTGTCCAAGTGACTGTAGACAGAGTTCAGAGCAAAGGAGATGGCATCCTCCACACTCCTGTTCTGTCTGTAGCAAACTGGAGCGGGTCAACACTCACAGGGATCTGGCTCTTAATGAAGATTAATGAAAGAAATTAATTAACGCACGTTCCCGTAATAATTTTGACAGCCCTAATTTTAATGAAAAAAAGAGTGAAGTTCTGCTGGTCGGGCCCAGCAATGGCAGCAGTAGCTCCGTGAACCTGGGACCTCTAACACAATTTGTTAAGCCCATAGTTTCAAACCTTGGAGTGGAAATGGATGCTGATTGTAATTTTGATAAACAAATAAGTGCAGTAGTGAAGTCCAGTTTCTTCCATTTAAGGCAACTTGCAAAAATAAAGTCCTCCCTTTCAAGGCAAAATTTAGACATTTTGATTCACGCTTTTGTTACGACTCGGCTGGACTATTGTAACGCCTTGTACACAGGGATCACTCCTCGCTTGCTCGTCTGCAGCTGGTGCAGATGCTGCGGCGCGTCTGTTAACAGGAACAGGAAGTATGACCATATCTCCTGTCATCCCTTCATTGGCTCCTGTTCGTTACCGGATTGATTTTAAAGTCCTGTTTGTCTATAAATGCCTGAATGGCCTTGCTCCGCGTTATCTGTCTGACACTGACATAATACGCTCCATCACGTTCTCCTAGGTCGGCAGATCAGGCTCTGCTCTGGGTTCATCCGACTAAACGGAAACTCAGAGGAGATCGAGCTTTTTCGGTTGTTGGTCCTAAATGATGGAATGAGCTGCTCCTGTGTCTGTCTGAGTCACTTCCTGTTTTTAAGTCTCGTCTTAAGACACACTTGTTCTCACTGGCTTTTAATTGATTTTCAATCAATGTTTTGCTGTAAATAGTGTTTTGTCTTTTTGCCACTGTTTTGTATATTTGTGTATGTGTTTTTATGTACAGCTGAGTTGTTTTTGTATTTACACCAGTCCGAGCTTATCCCTCATGTATTAGGAAGATGAGACCCATAAGGGTACCCATCAAATTGTAACAGACATTTTATAACAGTCAATCAACCACTTTGTACTGATGTGGAAAAAATGATGCCCTTAGTAATATCATATAATCAAGTAAAATGTCTCAAATGGACACAAATGAACATGAGTGACCCGTTAGTAGCTCATTTAGTGCTCGTCACTGCTCTCAGGCTAATTAACTAATGACAGGAGCAGTAAAATGTCACTGCTGGCCGTCTCAATGCTATTATGATCCTCCCCGCTATATTTTTCAATAAAGTCACACAGAAGGGGATAATGACTGTCTGAGACGTCGGGGAGAGTCTGCACAAGACCACTTCACTTGCAGCTCATTAGAGATCTGTAGCACCAGGGCCAATGTCAGTCTGCCAATATGATTTATAGCAATATTTCATGGTAACAAGTGAATATTGTCTTGAAAATAGCTTTGTGCAAACTTGCTGACAGTGTTTGTACCAAAGCATAACTATTGATGAATTCTTAAAAAGAGACGTCCTGTATCAAGGGGTCTTGTTGCTTGCATTCATGTCAATAAAAAATCTGTTTCACCTACCACCTATCCCCGCCTAATTCTCTGCATTAGTGATTATTCCCAAAATGTAGACTTCAAGTTAAAAATGTGCCAATTTTTCAACATTTATGGTGGTTCATTCACGAGGAGGCAAGGCTTATCAGTTGTTGAGTCGTGGATCTATGGCCTGTCCGTCCATTGGAACGGATCTCTCAGTGTGGGACTACCCAAGGTTTCTCTTCTCTGTGTTTTTAGAGTGTTTCCTTGTTGATGCAGGAGGGTCTAAGGACACTGATGATCCAGGACATTTGACATTCAACGACGTTTATGAATATTTATTAACATTTAAAGACATCCGGCCCTTTTTGACCAATGTCTTTGTTGAACTGTTTGATTCTCTGATCTGTGTTGGTGAATTGATAGCTTTGTAAAGTCGTAAACAATAACTTATTAATACATTATACAACAAACATTTTCCTGAAGTTTCCCATCAAAAATCAATCAAATGTATTTAGGTGCTTGATATGTCCACTTTCACCTGCAAAATCCCCCTTATAATGATGCAGTTGTCATGACACAAGCAGGAGACGGACCCTCCATGAGAAAACCTGAACTGTGCACCTTTTAATTATGTCTCCTATGCTGTCCTACAACGTTCAGACCCATAAATATTGTTGTAAGACCTTTTTTAGGTGATGACACAGTTTCACATCTCTGTCAACATGTAAACTTTAAAGCCCCTTTTCTCAGTTTACCTGACAGCTCAGATACTTTTATACTTTATAGGACAGTCCGTAATAATGGGACACAACAACAAGATAAGATAAACCTTTATTAGTCTCACAGTGGAGAAATTTAAATGATACAATACAATACAGGATTTGAGCCAACAACTCCTTCCTGGAAATTCTGCTTCACCGCTGTAGAAGCATGAAATTCCCCTTGGCGTGGTCTTTTCATCATTAGCGCTGCTCTTACGTCTCGGCGAAGGGCCAACGCAAACACACTCCTTTATTGCCTGTCATGTTTGTTCTGATCTCTGTGGTTACACGTTGTACCCTCCTACCCCTGCCCTGCCTCCCCCTCATCCTTCCTCTTACTGCTGTCACCGTCTGCAACCATGGCAACCCCGCAGCCAAAGACTTTCCGGGACCCAGCTCAGGTAACTAAAGCCGGACGCTGGCTTTCCCAACAAAGTGTCCCGATCATGGCTCCTTCACCTGCCCCACAGCATGAGAAGCTCCATCAGCATGCACACACACAGCCATCGCAGCCAAACACCACACTTCCTCGCCGTGGGGAAGTAAACCAGCTGTGCGGGGTCAGGCATGGGTTGTCTGGATGATGCTCGCAAAATCAAAAAAAGTTGCAATAACTTTTTCCTTCCTTATAATAATTTTTCACATTTTCCCTCATGTTGTAACCCCATGAGTCAGCCAAATGTTATCTTCATCTAAATAGAAAACAGTTGATCCACCCAGATTCACCTTGTGCAAACATTCTGCTCCATGGTTGTGGTGGTGGTCACATAAAGGAAGACACAGATTATTGCAATATGGATATACACATTTTATTTCTCCTTTTTCTGCCCAACAATTAAGAACCTCAGGTTTAAAGTTGCATTTTTCCACTTTCCTGGTGGTGGCCCGCTTTGTGGTCCAACACCTGTTTCTTGCAATAAATATGTAATAGAAATGTCACTCAGTTTGTTTTAAAACATGTACACTGCATTTTAAATGGATCGACACCAGGACACATGTTTGGCAGTATTTTAGGTTACCATCAAATTCTCAAGCTTTATTTAGAGTATATAAATTAGGAGTTGACAAAAATCTATTCTGCTGTTCAAACCGTACGCTCTTAGCATTTCACCACCTAAGAAGTGTTTTGGTGACTCCATGAACCCTTCTGCAAATTGTACAGGCTTGTGTGATTTGAAAATTACCCGTGTCTCATCTCGACGCATGGAATTGCTCGCACAGATTTTGGTGTCCACCAACGTTCACCCAATTTGAACTTGACTTGAGTGTTTGCCCACACTGT